AGTGCCACCCAGACATTATTTCACCACTGATGCAGAATGTAATTTATTTCACAAGGTATAGTAGTCTCTCCTACAAAACGGCATTTAGGAGCATAAGAATCAGTATAAGTATGTACAAAATGCACATGTTCCTGAGTTTTATGGTTATTTTTTTTAAAATTAAAATCTCATTATATATATAAATGTTTTAAATCTTGAAGAGATGAAAAAAAAATTGTATATGGGCCCAATACAAAATACTTTATAGGAGGTAGTACAATTCTTCCACTTAAAAGAAACTGAAAGAAAATAAATGTTTCTAACTTGAGAAATGGCTAGAATAAATACTAAAGAAGTAGTATCTAAAACTCAATACATACTTCAATTTTAGGAGCCAAACAGAAAAAGAACACACCTCCTCTATAGAACCTACCTTAAACGTGGTAAAACTGTACCGTGTAATGGCAACGGCAACATGCCCTGTGTGGTACAGTTGAACAGCTTGCAAAAAATTTGGTCTGACAATACTGAGTTGGTTTTTTAATCTTTAGGTACAAAGGGGGGGGGGGGGTGAAGGAAAATACACATCTCAACAGTGCCCTCTAGTGGCCATGTCTTAAAATGGCTGTCTCCAGAAGAAACTCCTTTTTTAAGAATGAAAACAAATAGAAAAACATTTATGAAGTTAACATTTTCAAACACTATAAAACCCAGGGATCAGATTAAAGAGAGGATCGAAAAATACCCAGCAAACATTGACTTAAAAGGGAGGGTATTCAGAGAAGTGAGGGGCAGGATACAGAGGAGGCAGCCTGCTCTGTCCTCTTACAGGGACACTGGGTATGTCATCCCAGATTGCTCCGGCTTAACACAGCCCATCACCTGCTCACTCCATTCATCAGCTGGTATTAATTGAGCACCTTTGTCGTGGTCCATACACTTTGGGGACTTTTGTAGGGATGGAATACAAAAGAAGTAGAAAACAGGATTCTTAACTCAAGAAACTGATCGTATGATTATTTGCATGAGGAAATTGGTAAATAATTTGGGGCCTTCCATTAGCTTCAAGTGAAAGATAAAGAGACCTGGACACCAGTGGGGGCTTTCTAGAAGAAAAGGTTTGTGGTGAACTTGGCAGATCCCCTGAGGGTTATGGGGTAAGAAGAGCACCCGGGGTGACAATGACACCAGCTTTTCTTAGCTGCCATCCTGGGGATCTGAGCACCACCCCCACAGCACGCCATTCTGGATGAGGAAAGGAGCCCGATGGCCACCAAGGGCAGATGGGCAATCATCTCTAGGATGTGACATAGGTTTCTTTAGCACACTCAGTGCATTGAGGCTGAGCCCACGATGAGCAGGAAGCAGAAGCCTGTGGTGGCCACATCTCGGGTCCTCATCCTGCTTAATCCCAAAGATGCCATCGGACCCCAACATTCCCACTTCTTCTCCTCAGCCGGCTGTGTCCTCTCTGCCTCCCCCCACCCCACCCTCCGCTATCTGTCTGCTTTCTTCATGAGCTGTGACAGGTTACATGAATAGTTACCAGGAAGCCATCACATGCCCAGCAACAGGCATTGAAGAACAGGAAGACAAAGCCCTTGTCCTCATAAATGCTTCAAATCTAGCCAGAGACAGAAACAGGAAGCCTTAGGACAGCCATACAGGGCAGCACTGGTGTCAGGGTGTCGCAGCTGTAAAACACAACGCTCCCAAAGGCTGAGTCAGGTGGGAAATTACAGGGTTCAAGTCTGGGGGCCTCACTGAGTCCTTCTGGCACATGGGTCCATGACCCAAGGCTGGGTCACAGGGTCAAGACCCTGTTGGAGATGCTGTTTCTCACACTCCCGGTCTCTCTTGCTATGGAAGAAACAGACTTTTTTTTTTCTTTTCTTTTCTTTCTATTTTTTTTTAGAGATTTTTTGCTATAGGGCATGTGTACTCAATCGAGAGACAGAAAGAGAAATCACCCCCAAGGGGGATGGACACACCACAATCCCTTCTCTTCCATTGTCCTCCTGGGATCTTAGGCATGCACTCTTACGTGCCCAACATGAGTTTCAAGCCACCAGGTCTGGGACTCCAACCAGGTCGGCCATGTGGGAGTCCAGCACCCTAACCACCACACCACCTGCTGGCCCATAAACAGACTTTTAAGGAGACAATGTGCCTAGGAGTTTAGAGAAGAAAGATTTCAAGTGGGCAGAGCAGCCACGGGCCTTTGGGAGAAGAGGAGGCGAGGCTGTGGCAAAGCAGGAAGGAGAAAGGCAGGCACATGGGAATAGAGCATTCGCCCAAAGGAGGGGCTGCTCCTTCGACAGCAGCCTGTGGGGAGGGCTGGTGTGGGACATGGGAGCACATTAAGGCAATTTCTGAAAGTCAAGCAGAGAGAGCAAGCTCCTTCCACTATGTGTGTGGCCCTTCAGGCAGGCACCCGGGAAAGTGTGTCCCCAACGATCTTTCGTCAGAATCCTTCCCAGTGGGTCAGGGAGAACCTCTGGAGGGCTTCCTGGTCAGCCCTTGCCCAACCACGGTAAAAAAGCAAAAGCAAAAGACCCACTGGCTGCTTTTTTCTCCCATCTCCTTCCACACATCATGAACATATCTGGGAAAGTTGCTGCAAGTAGATACATTTGCCCCCCCACCCCAATTACACCAAAAACCATCAACATTGCCCTAATCTTCTAGGTTTCAATGTAAATAATTTCCCTATAATAATGAAGTTCCAACAGGAACAAAATTGATGCTTTCAAAATGTTTGTATGAACCACAGTGTAAAAAGCTTCAGAAATTTCTGCTCACAAAAACTTGGGGCATTCCGGGATCCTACAACCTGTCACCTTCAGCTGGAGACCCTGAGATCGGTCAAGGTCAAAACCATCAGCAAGAAGAAGGAAGCGGACCCAGGGCCCATGGTTCTGATGCCCTTGTCGATACTAACTCAAGTGAGCAGAGTCAAATGGTGGGTGTCCCCAAATCGAGGTCCCAGCTTCAGCCAGCCAGTCTCTCGTTCCCTAAGTATGCAAGTGGAAATGTCAGGGAGCGGTGTAATTGGCATACTAAGAGAAAAACACAAATACGTTCTCAAGATAAAAGCAGGACTGAGGGGTTTATCTGTGAGTCCCAGTGGTTTTAATGCAGCGTTGTCAGCCAGTCCCTATTAAAAACAATGGAAAGTGAAAGACACTGATTACAATAAAAAGTGACAGGAGGGTGTGCTCAGCCACTTACATTTAATGCATATTTATTTTTCCATCAAATGGACATATTTACTATAAACACTTGAAAAACCATAGCAAAGTCATTCATTTAAATGCCAGAAAAATAGTAAAAAATGCTAATTTGACCTTAGTGGAACAGATCGGGTGTCACCGATGCTACTCACAGTGGCTTGAAACAGAGTTTACCAAGACGATTAATTAGAGTTTACTGGATTAGGTCAAGAGTGTCTTAAATGGAGAGGGACAAAGGAGAGAAAAAAAAAAAAAGGAAAGAAGAAACATAAAGTTTTTAGTCTTTCACAGCCCCTTCAACAGCTGACACGATTTAACTGCTTATCTACACATCCTTAAATAAATCCAGTAGTGTATGCCTAGAGAAAGAAGCTGATCCATTGATCCCCGAGATTTCTTTCTTTGTGGACATGTAAAATCAAATAAATTACGACTATCTGAAAGATTGTTTTAAAGAACAAATCAATGAATAATAGGAATAAAGTGGGTTTTGCTTTCCTGTTGAAATGCAAGCTGGTTTGCTATAACAAGGATGTTGATCTAATAATGGTAAGCACGGTCATTAAGAAACGCTTTTATGAACTACACAATGGGGAATGTCAGGAATTTCTGCTCACCACATTGTGGGAAATTTAGGGATCATGCAGTCACCCTTTAAAACAAGCCACAAATCCCCACTGTAGACCAAAGAACCATTTACCACAAAAACCACAGACCTGGCAACATATTACCTGTGACAACCATAGTGACATTGAACACAGGCGCCTCCCAGGTCTGACTTGCAGCTTCTGTGGCCACTGCCCCTTGAAAATGACCACTGTGCCACTCTGCCTGCCTTATAAATATGCATCTTGGCTAGAAATGAACTAATCTGCCTGTTCCCTGCACACAAGGGGCCCTCACTGCCACTCTTAATTCTCCATAATCAGCCGCTCTGTGACATTGCTTCGAGCTGTATAGAATGCACATACACACATAAATTCATGACACAAATCCCTCAACATGACATTCTGCTCAATTCCATTGAACTCAGAAAGCTCCCTAACAAATTCTTGCCACATGATTAGAAAATCATTCAAGTCTGCAAGAAATACGGCAGGCACACAGAAGTGACAGTCAATTAGGAATGAGAAAAGAGACTGGGTCCTTGTCATTAAAGTCTTTAAAGCCACAGCACAAGAATCAAATGGCCCATCATTCACACCAGATATTCTTATAAAAACAGATTTAATTCTGCTGTATGTTAACCATACCACAACACTAGAGACACCCAAGAGAATTTTTTTTAATCCAAACTCAAAAAGCTAAAACTATAGATGCAAATGCAGGCCACTGATAACAATTTTGTGAGTTTACTTCCTTGTATCAGGCAAGGAAGGGAAGATTATTCAACAGTTAAATCTTCCCCTTTTGAGGAGTCAATAGAGATGAAAACAAACAACTCGTATTCTAATTTTTTGGGGGTCAATGAGTTTTACCCATGAAATGCAAACCAATGATCCAGCAGTTCTGGGTGGATCATCAGCGTTGATGATTCCTCAATGGAATGACTTCAAAAGAAACAATGTCATTTTCTCTTCTCAGCGTATAGGCACAAAAGAATTCTTGAAGGGGAGCAAAGTACAAAATACAGGAAGAAGACATGCTCGTTTATTTTAGTGTCAACAAAATATATTTCAGGCTTCCCTAAACAATCATTTGTCATTAGCTTCTTCAAAGGAAACCAGAACAGAACCAACACTACCACGTTACCTGTAAGTCATGGAACAAATGAGAAAGTGAACTTACTTGTTAGCTTGTTGTGGCTGAGGACGAGCTGTGTGATATGGGATAAGGTGACTGTAAAAAGAAAAACAAAATCATACAGTCAGTAAATGTATCCACATCAAAGCCACACTCCTACAAGGTACACTGCTAAATTATTTTTACAGGTGGTTGAAATGTTATCGCTCACCAAAATAGAAGCTAGGATTCAAATAACACTATCTGTTAAATGTTAAACCAAATGAAGAAGAGTCACGCAATTAACAGTGCAATTAGCTTAGCAAGTTAGAGCTAACGAGATTAATGTTACAGGATCAAACGCGACAAGAGCCAGTTAGCTTTGCGGGGAGACTTGGTCTGCTGGCCTGACCTCAGCGATCCATCTCAATAACGTGCACCAGTCAGAAGAATCAGCCAAGAGTGCAGAGAGGCACAGAGGCCTTTACCTATGCAAAGATAAAGCTGCCACAGCAAAACAGAAACATCACCTAACTGAAGGTCGGCCGCATATGGGCACTCCCCACTTGAGGGCAGAGCTCCATCTGTACAACTAGGTTGTTAAGTAGACTGGTAGATAAACAAGGAGCTTAAAGGCCGATGTCATGGCACCATAGGGTAGTTATTGTTCAATAGCGATCACATGTTGTTATCATGATAGATGTCATTATATCTATAATTATCTATCATTATAGAATAATGTAGTTCTAGCCATACAAAAAACATGCATTAGGTAAATACCAGAAAATGACAAGACACATCACAACACAATATAAATCCAGCATAATTATTTTTATTTATTCTGAAAACGATAGATTCACAATAAAGTCCAAATTTATAAATGAAATGTGTAGTCTCATGTGATTGTGAACACTTCGTGTAGTGAATATTAACCGACAGCGAGAGCCAGACAAGGACTGAGAGGATTCCCTA